ACATGACTGTGCTACTAACTTTCTGGGGCTTAGCCCCATTTGTGCTTTATTGATTCCAGCCTAGTTTCCGTATTGCGTYGTAGTGAGTGATGTGCCGATCGCTCTAAAATTTGACTAACATCTGATGGATCTATCAACCCCCAGACATACAAACTCTTGGGAAGAGGGTAGAAACTGACTGAATCTTTGCTATTCAGCGACCGTGAAGACGGGGGATCGAGAGTTTATACGCCTCTCCACTTTTGCTGATGTCCATATTCGTTATGTACATACACCAGTATGCTATTTCAAATCTAATCCCCTCCTTTATTTTGATGGTGTCCCGCACCTTAGTGTTCCAGGTAATAAAAGCTGGACCGTATAATGAAACCAGCTGAACAACGTAACGAGCATGTAGTGTCGTAGTGTGTGTTGAAGTACTGATGTTGTTATTCTTTATTAGGAGTATGAAGTCGACCTGTCAAGCTTGATGCTATATATAAAAGGAGAGCAATGTGGGGACTGTTGTTTCAAAGAAGTGCACTAGTTTGTTTGGTGTTTTCCTTGGTTGCTGTAATCTGCACAAACTCCAAAAGAGGTAACGATCATGGTATGCTGTCCCATCAACGCCGCCACAGGAACTCCAGAGAACATAAGAGCAAAACGGAAGGAAGGAATCCCATAAAAAGACCTTACCAATCCAAACATCAATCTTCAGGAGCGCATCTTAATAAGCATTCTAAATTTGATTCCCCGACAAGACAGGATTTTTTTCTAGCTAGACGGGACTATGTTCCTAAGCAGTACATCAATATGCCTCTAGTAAAGAAACAAAATATATTTGAAAAGTATTATGGAAATCAGGGATACCCACAGATGGGCGATGGAGAAGAAGTCGTGCCTGCAATGGAACGCAATATGGACTATGGTACATTTAATTTTCGTGGCGGAAATATGAAATCCAACGGCGCAAAGGCTAGAAAACTAAACCCAAACGACCTTGGGTACGGCGACTTGAAAAGGGTAGAAGACGCTGATCAGTCGGTTAACGAAGTGATCAACTCCATTATCGATGATGACAAGAACTTGGAAAAGGCTATGTCAGATGTCACAGGATATCGCAAACCCACGCCCAATCCATCTGAAGACTTTGATGTGACTGTTGAAGAAAATACGGGGAAAACCTCYGTGGGGAGCTCGTATTTACCTACGAAACTGAATGTCCCTGAAGTCGTGAAGGGAGGGCTACAAGCAGCGAATCAAGTAGATGGTAGTGATCAAACTTTACAAAGTTCGGATGGAAAGACCAATGGGACTGTACTGGCTCATTCGTGGAGTGTTGACCTGGATAGCGCTGGTAATAATGAATATCATTATGACAATGGTAGCCAGGGTAACAGCTTGGGTAGCCATGGCAACGTAGAGGGCACTAACCCCTTAAAAGTAGGTGCTGGTGGTAGCAATATTAGCAACCATATCGGAAATCCTGCTTTACTCTTTAACCAAGGAAGCAAAGGCAAAGAAGATGATTCGAATGCCTACAGCGAAGTCKTAAATGAGGTTGACGACTCCTTTAAACAAAGCCTCAATTTCGGTAATGACTCTGTATTGTCTGGTGGAAAAAACAAAGAAATCTCAAGCAGCAACAATAATATTATTACTAGTGATATTGTTTCAACTAAATTGTTGAATGTTAGCCATAAGGCTTCAGGTTTCATCAGCAAAGATAACCGCCGTATTGAAAGCGCTTTTCTTGGTAACCTTGGCGATGAGGTAATAAACAATGGTAGTAACCAAAAATTCTCAAATAAGGTCCATTTGCAAGGAATGGTAACAGACGCTAGTAATGTCATCAATGTTACAAATATAATTAGCGACCTCCAGGGTAAAAATAATCCAATAAGTGCCCAGAGCAACGTTGCTGTTTTGGGAAATACAGCTTATGAAAACAGCATAAGAAACTCAAGTAACACGATAAGTCAAAACACCATAAACAACAGCACTAGTTTTGATAATGAGGAAAGTGCTGGCAGTAGTAGCCATGGAAACACTATTGTTACCGTTGGCAACGCGGACAGTAGCAAAAGCAATAATGGCAACGTCCATATAGAAATCATAGACAGCATGCCGAAAAAAGATGATCAAAATGGCCGTCAGGATAGTAGCCATGGCAACACAGACAACCCACTAGAACAAAATGGAAAGAACGCTAATGATAATGTCGATAACCAGCAGGTTGAAAGCGCAGCTACGTCATCAAGCTTTCTGAAACAGCATCCCAATGCATTCAAGATTCTTATGGAGTATTTCCGCAAAGAGACGTCACTCCAACAAAAATTGCGTGACAGATTGAATGCCTTGAGGAAAACACAAATAAACGAAAATGCGATGAAGAAGTCRTTTGCAAGTGTACATGAGTTGGAAGAGATTCCAAAGCGGCCTCTTCCTTTGAGAGATTTTGTCGCAGATTTCCTTAAATTTACTTCCGAAAATGTTCCTCAGAAAGCAAAATCCCAGATTATATCAAAAGCAAAAGCAAATAAGCAAGGTTTTCTTAGAGATAAAGGAAAACTGACAAGACAGGAAAAGCCTAGCAGAAAACGTCGGAAACCGATTGTAGGAGCGCACCGCAAGATCGCGGTAGGACTGCATAACAGTGTTCAAGCTTCTAAGCAAGCATTTCCGTCACGTAAAGCAGATGTGACTTTCGTAGCAGATTTCGAAAATGTGACGGAAGTTGCAAAAGAGATTAATGGAAACATTACRAAAATATTTCAAGATGCAATGAATTCAAACAGTCAAGACGGCATGAAGGTCGAACCAAGTGCTAGTAGTGCACTTGGTCTTGCTGAGGAGAGGATTGATAAAATAATTGCCCAAAATGAAATTCCTCAAAATGTGGCAGAGCAGTATCTTGAAAGTAACGCACGTAATGAGGAAGAAACTACTTCTGCAGGAAATAATAACGCAATAGTAAAAGAAGCGAGTGGTACTCWTGAAGGTAACGCAACATCAGTGGAAGCAACAGGTTCTGCCGGAAGTAACGCAATAAAAGTAGAGGCGATAGGACCAGTTGAAAGTAACGCAATGCCAAATTTAGCAAGAGGACCTCTTGTAAATCATAGTAACGCAATTTCAAAAGTAGGTGCAGCGCCAAAAAAAAGTGACCCAATATCAAAAGAAGCATCTTACAGCATRGGACAGACCAGTACTTCTGAAGCATTATATGACTTCATTCATGCCAAAAGCAGTTACATGGATTCCAAAACGATRATGTACAAAAGAGAACTCAAGTCCCTAGAAGTTTCTTTATCGCAAGACTTCTTTAATTCCTGGATGTATCATTATCGGTCGTTTGAAGAGATGAGTATCAAGCCCCAACAGCTTCGCTYCGGGATCGCAACGGTGGGGTCTACCGAACGCCTTGAGCGCGTTATCAAGAAAGCTCTCAAAGGAGAGAGAATCAATATACTGATAGTTGGTGGTTCGATCTCCGCAGGTGGAGGACTGGAGAGAGACAGGCATGATCTGCATGGGATTTACTACAAAGCTTTTGTAGAATGGTGGAAAACTACGGTCACGCCTATCACTACGTCGGATTTAAAGCTAAATGTAGTAGCCATAGGAGGTACAGATTCTGAGTACTTCTCCTATTGTATCAAGAACTATATTCATGACCATCCTGACCTTGTCCTCTGGGAACTTGCTGCGAATGATTACCGTCGATATGAAGGGCGAGAAATGGATCCTGGCAAACCCCTGGAGCAGCTGACTAGACTCCTACTTACCCTCCCTTCCCAGCCCGCACTTATTTTCATCAATTATTTCCGAGGGGATTATTATAAGACAACCTTGGGGCAGAACTGCCCTGACTCGGAAGACGAGAGTGGTAGACTTATGGCAGAATATTATAAGATAACATCACTGTCTTGGCGGAATATCATTTGTTCTCAGATAAAGACGGATGTGCGTCCTAGCAATAGCGCAAAAAGGGAATTCACTCCATTGAMTTTGAAGACCCTGTTCAGCTCCGATGGATACCACCCAAGCCTTCTGGGCCATGCGCAGTGCGCTACTCTTTTAATTTCGTACATTCGTAGTGTTTTTGAAGAAGTAGTTTCAAGAGAAATATCTAGAATCGACGAAGGAAAGGCTGACGATAATACCAAGTCTAATAAAAGTAACCTTCCAATGCCCATATATGGCGATCCCGTAGCTCCAAATCCCATGTGCTGGACACTCCTTACGCCAGACTTTCATCGTMCAATAGAAAACCAGCTACCGGGCATGCGCATTATAGAAGCAAACGGATTTGAGTTTACAAACATCACTCGTTGGCCGGTCAGAATGGACCGTTTAAGGTGTCTCAAAGCACTACACTCGGACGCTAGTCTGAGAATAAAGTTCGACGTTTCGATGAATGACAAATCTAGCACAAAGAGAATTGTTGCGGTTATTTCTCATAATAGTTTCTCGGGTAGTGCTAGGGTATGGCTCGATAATGATCAGAACAATGCCSTGATTATCGAGGAGCCTTCTGGTCAAAGACGAACACAGGCGAATATCATCAAACGTGTCTTACAACCAGGGAGTCACGTGATTACCATCAGGTCGATTACTCCTGGGTTTTGTTTTTCGGCATTAGCTATCCTTTAATAACATTATCTACCACAGGGCTCGGAGCTAGGGGGCTGAATGGCTATAGCTCCACCAATGATTTTGCCGCCATCTTTGACCAGTCGCTTACGTTTCACTCATTTGATATAGAAKTCAGTGTTCGGAAGAGATTTCTGAAATAGTATTAGCACCTCCAATCTAAAACTCGCTCCGCTGTCCCTGTACCAGAAGCTGTGGTATTTTCTCGCGTAAAGTAACACTGGTACCCTAATTTCTGGTTTGAGTTGTACCTTCTTGAATGTTTTCAAAAATGAAAAAAATGAAATACTACACCTTGACTAGACCCATTTAAGACCCAATTACAGCTACCTTTTTGTTCTTAATGCGCATGAACATGATATCGAAGTCGTCAGTATTCCCGACTATTTTTGACATTGTGCGCGTTTTTTAAGATTTTAGGTAGACAAAATACTCGATGTTGTAAGACGATATGGTTTGGTATCTGAGAGTTCCAAACGACTTTTGCGATCGAAAAAAGCTGCACCTGTGGTTTGCGTGCGATCATTTTATTCCATTTTTTAAACAGCGCATCAATGGATCCATAAAGAACCTCATCACGGCAAGCTCAGTTGATAATGATCAGATATCATATTTCTTTTTTTCTTTTTTCATTTAAGCAATATGGAGTAGTCTCCCCCGTATCAGATAACAGACTGCGGATAGATTAAAAATCCCTCATTAAAGATAGAAGCCTTACAAATGAATTACCAGAGACTCAATAACTCTGTTATTGAAAACATATCTCTCTTATGAGTTCATAAGAAAACACACACTATTTTCTTAACACGATTGTGTAAAATTAACCAATCACAARACACAAAACCGAGAGCCAAGGTAAGCGTCTATCAAATGTTTTTTGGCACTGAGTCTTTGAGTGTCATGTACTTTCAATGGTGATTTTGTTTCATTCGAAATTTCATTCTATTCGTTTTAAAAAGAGTTAATACTAGAGATGACAAATGAATAAGTATTTACAGTTCTGCAAACACCTGACGACTCGATGTATACTCCAGCAAGATTGATAAGAAAACACTTAGAATACCTTTTTGAAGAATTTGGATATTTTTTATTCAGTTCTTTTTATTCCGGATTGACTCGTCTCTTATTCAGCCGTTTATCTCAACTTATGGTCTATCTATCAGTCACAACACATGTAACAGGTGATCTGAAGGCAAAATAATATCTTAGGCTTCTTATCAACTTATCAATCGCAGTTTTTGTCAAAAATTTTGATGATTAAAGATTTAAACCCCAAATATGAAAATTTTTATTTGATGTCATCGTCTGTAACGGAAGGTTTCTGGGCACAAATTCAATGCAATTTTTATAAACACGCGAACTCTTTGTCTTCGAGTCGCAGGCTGCTGAAATTTATATTTATAGCTGTACTTTGAACGTCCTTACCACAGTCCTTACCTCACGCTACACTAAAGACTGGTTTGTTTTTTTTTTTTTTCATCGATTAGTTCTGTGGCTGCTGCTCTCTTTGTGG